TCCACCGTCGAAGTACCTGTAAGGCAGAACACCCAGCTCGCGATGGGCAGTTCACGCCAAGGGCAAATAGTCCCGACCGGGCCATATACCCGACCAAGCGGATTCGCTCCGCCTGCCCGACAAATCTTCAAGAATGTCGGGCCATCTAAAAGGGTCAAAAGGGAGTCTCTCCCCTCGAGTTCACCACTTAGGCGACTCTGGCCATCGAGAAGAGGCCGAGCACATACACGAACAAAAGGCTTAGGCTAATTTTCCAGCAAAGTCACAACCATTTACGGACACACCTCGGGCCCATAACTTAGGCCAATTTTACAGCAAAAACGTAAAATACAAGCACGGGCAAACAATCAGAATTGAAACAAAGCATTCATTCAAAATGCCCGTAGGCAACAAAGCAAATAAGATGTAAACCGACCAAAAAGGCCGGCAATATTCAGGAATACAAAGAACGGGCACGCAGGCCCAAAAAATGTGAACGGGCACGCAGGCCCAAAACAAACATCAACGAGGCGCACATGCCCCACCACTATCTCACAACTCGGCTTCCCCCGAGCTACCATCACCAACAACAAGAGAGTCGGGCGGAGGCACGACCTGACCGTCGATAATCTGCGACATATGGCTCACCCCTTCAGTGTTCAGGCCAGGATTTAACAAGGAAAGCTGGCTGACCGTGGCTTCGAAGCCGTCCACCATAGCTCCGACACAATCCCCCTCGAGAAGTTGAATACGAGCGACCAGTTCCGATCGACTCCTCAAAAGAGCTGTGTCCCCCGACTCATCCTCGGCATGAAGCATAACAGCCTTTAGGTCCTCGATCTCTCTGGCAAGGCGCCCGTTGTCGAGTTCCAATCGTTCACGATCCGCACGAAAAAGGTCCCTCTCCTCGGCCAGCTTCCCCGAGCTCTCTCTCTCAAGAGCCAGCAACTCTGTCTCTGTCGCCAGTAGCTCGGCTTGCTCGCGGAACATCCCCTTGGAGCGCTCCAGAGCAGCCTTCAACTTTCGCGAGCTCGAGGTGAGGGCATCTTTCTCCTGTTCCAACTCTTTGATACGGTCGGCATCCTCCCCCTCCTCGGCCAGTACAACGGCCATTTCGACCATCTTCACCAGCCCGACCATATTGGCGGCCAGGTGTCTTCTCCGGCTTTCCTTGTTCATCCGCCTGATGGTTTCAGCTTCGTCAGGATTCATGGACAAAGGAAATCCCTCGAAGAAACCCTCCTCCTTAAAGCAAGGGGGCAACCCGAAGGACCTCACAGTGCTGGAGTCCTCGCCGACTTCCGGCTGACTTTCCACCCGATTCCTTTTTCTATGTATCAGGTCGGTGTGTGACTCGACCTCCTGAACATCCGGAGTCCCTCCTGAAGCAGCCCCCGAGCTAGGTGGCGAGTCCACCCTCGTCGCCTGAGAAACACCCGGGCTATATGGCGGGCCCATCCTCGTCGCCTGAGGAGGTCTCACCGCCCTCTTGTTCACCTTCCTGTCACAGGACAACTTCAAGAGCCTCTCCCTTCGACCAGCCATCGAACCTGCACGAAAGAACCCGGGTTAGTGCCGAGCAAATAATCAAACAAGTAACAAGTGAAGAAATTCAAACAATAAACGACCTAACAAACGCGCAGCCTGCCCAAAGGACTGGAACTCCACGAGTGCCTTCGTGTCAATTGGTCGAGCCTCGAAGGTCGGATAACCTTTATCGTCCAAAATATCTTCCCCCTCCCTCGTGGCCCATCTGGCGGAATGAAAGCTATCAACATACCGACAAAGAGTATCGTAAGCCTTCTCGTCTTCGGAGCTCATATCGCCCGCGGACGTATGGTAATACCTGGTACCGTGCTCGTAATGCCTCGAGATCCAATGCACGGGAAATTTGGCCGTGCGTCCTAACACCGGACGTCCTTCGCCGTCCAAAAGGGCCTCCCCGTCGTCGTCGATTATGACCGCTTCCTCCTCATACACGGACTCTAAACCTGCTGTGGTAACCGGCCTCACGACATACCACTTGTCTTTAAAACCCCACACGGAGTCCATGTACATCCTGAAAAGTCTCTTCGACTGTTTCAGGGAAACCCAACTATGCTTTCCTCCCCGAGATTGGCGCTGTAGGTGGAAGACTCTGAAGAAGAGGGGTATGGTCGCCCCAATCCTCAGAAAACGACAAGTTAGCTCAAACGCCCGGATAAACGCGAGCGAATTTGGGTGAAGCTGCGACGGGGCCAGCCCCAGGTGGCTGAAGACCCCGACCTGGAAATCGCTGAAGGGCAGCTGTAACCCAAGGTCTTTAAAGACAATTTCATACATAGGGAAACTGTACTCGGGGAACACCGAGCAAATTCGAGCAGTGAAAAATGGCCGAGTAACCACGAAATTCTTCTGGAAACCAGACTGGTCGTGGCCCGCCTCGAGGATAGTGTATGCCCTTCGGCTACGTCGACTATAGACCGAAGCTATCCCTCTAGGTTCGGCACCCACCCATTCCAGCAGAAGGTCCTCTACAGTGTCAACCAAACTCACATTCTCATCAGCACTTTGCTCTTCCACCTCGGGCCGTCCTGAAGAGCACGGTTCGTCCGCCATGGTTACCTACAAAGCACAGGAAACCAATCAATTGGGCGCGAAACCATACGCTCGCCATAACGGACGAGATGAAGGGCACGAAAAACCACGTTGCTCCACGCACGACTGCAAAGTTGGCATTTTGGAACAAAAGACAACATCCATCTCCCCGACTCCCATATACCTCGACAGGTCCTCCTACAAGTCGCCTAAATAAACCGACAACTCGGTCACTCATGAATACGTCGACCCAGGGTATGAACATGGCGAGCAAAATCATAAAGCCTAGATCTAGAGCTATGAGTCTACCGGGCACGATCACGAATTAGGCGCCTAGGATCATGAAGACCTCGGGCAGCACTGCAGATTAAATCCTAAACTATGCATTTACCGGGCACGAACATGCGCTTGCCGGACATACGTATGGATCCGTCGAGCTAAACATGAATCTACCGGGATAATCCTAGGCGTACAGTCTCTAAACGTCTAAAAACGATGAAAAATCATACATCACAACAGAAAAACACAGGAGACAAGTCACTTACTTGGAATCAAGAAGGAAATTTGACGACGAAGGAAAGGAATCAGCGACGGAGATCGTGGCGGTCCTATAAGAATCTGGGAAGAACAGCAACAACAGAAACAAAGTGAAGAGGAGAAGCGCGAAGAGTGGAAACACGTTCTGGGGCCCAAGGACCCTATTTATAGTGATGACGTAGAATACCAAACGTCACCTCGGGCAACCACGGATTCCCCTCCTCGACGCACAGTTCCCCTAGGCAATGATGACCCTATCCTCCATAGGGTGGCGGCGCAGTTCCCAAAAGAGACCTCGCGTGCTCGACAGACGCAGGCTGCCGAGAAATCTCTCGAACATTCCTCGCAGGGAACCTGTCCACGAGCACGATACGGGGAAACCCTCGAGTACCCCACGAGGAGCTGCGTCTCTTGCCCGAATACGGGGCCCCGCAACGGAAGTGACCTAAGATCAAGTCATGGCTCCTAACTCAAGGAACCACGACTTGGAGGGCTCCTGTTCTGGACTGGGCCGGGCTAGCCCAAGAGCAACGATAAAAGCCCAATCCAAACAGACTTACTAGGGGTCACGCCGACCTAAGGACCATAGCTATGCCCGACATACGTCACTGGGGCGGCATCCTCGACCTCGTACTATCCAGCTCGACCTCAGCTCGAGCGCTCCTCCAACAGCAGACACGATCCACTACACTCTCAACGAGACCCCGAAAAGACCGCGTCCTTGTCCGCCCGCACTTCACGCAGGACATTCAGGAAGGGGACCACGTGCGGGTCCCCACTACGCACGTAGAACCTGACAGTTCCTCCATTTGGGCCAAACCTGCCCGACCCAATGGAGGAACCTTGGTCCAGCGCTGGGGGCTATAAATACCCTCTGTTCCCAGAGGGTCAGGTATTCATCTATCACATATACTCACACTTTGCCTGCTCGTACTCTCACTTACTTCAGCATTGGAGTGCCTTGCAGGTACCCCCACCTCGTTCAAAACTTCAGCTCGGAGCCAGCCGTGACGGTTCAAGTCTGATCAGGTTAGATCACCTACTAACAAAAGATTTCGAATAACAACAACATCTAAATATAAATTACTTTTAACTATGTTTCTCAAAATATGAAAAAGATCTTATAAAAAAGATAAAAAAACTTAAAATATCTTATATTTAAAAACATAAAAGAGATAGTAAGATATTACTCCAAAAATTAGTTCGGTTCTATACAGAGTAAGATAGTACTCATAAAAAATATATTTATCTTTTTTATAGTATAGTCATTGAAATTTTACCTCTTAAAATTAAATAATTGGAATATCAAATCACACTTTTATAATTAGATCTTATTAGTGTTTTAAAATGCACGAATTGTGCATTTTTCAATCAAATAAAAAATTATATTGCTGATATAAGAATGTGTTTTCTATGAGTACATAAACTCATCCATTTTGGTTTATATTTCTAAATGATTTATTAATGAACCATCGCAATATTTTCATTTCTTTTATAAAAAAATTAGCCAAAATTAGATTACCAAACACTATTTTAAAGTTAGCGCAATATATACACATTTTTCAACAGTTAGTACAATATCAATAAGACTTCAATGAATCAATATGACTTAGATGACAAGCTTCGCTTCACTTCACTTCTCACAAACCGCAGGGGTGTTTCCGTAATCTCCTAGTTAGATCCGTTCTTACATCCAAATCCACTTACAAACCCTTTTCTTTCGAGAAATCCAAAATCATTTTCACATAATCCCTCTTTCCCCGCCATTCAATTCCAATTTCTCTTCCCAATTTATCCCTCTAGGGTTCAACACTTCGCCTTCAATTTCAAAATCAAACCCTATTTAATCTCAATTCGCTCTTTTTTCAACACTTTCCACCACTACATGCTCTTCTCGTAACTAATCCATGACTTCTTCAACCGCTTCCGATGCCGCTGCGGCGGCTGCGAGTTTCGCCGGCCACCGCGGCACCAGTATGTCTAATACTGTCCATTCCGAAGTCGCGTCTTGCTTGCCGTTACCTTCGCTTCCGGTTTTCTGTGGAGCTTCCGATCAAGACCTACGACTCTTCGATTCACCGATGCAGTTGAACCGCGACGATATCCTCTTCAAGTCCAGTAAGATCGCCGAGATGCTCCGGCACACTGATGTGTCGTACTTGTAAGCTTTTCGTTTCGCTTTTCGTTTGACATTTTCTGCACGCATTGTGATTCCGATTCCGCTATTTTAGTCGATATGATGTTGAATTTATACGGAGATACCAAATTAGGATGTGAATTATTGTTAATGTGTTTGTACAATTGAAATTCGCTGTTGTGAACTGAAGTTAGAAGAATTCAAATTTCCGTCTGATTTACTGTAGATACTAGATTTGAATTTAGGAGCTTGTATGAACTTCGTGACTTATGTAGTTGACTCATCATGACTGTACAGTGCTTGACTTGCTTATTTAGTTATAATTTCAGTTTTAATTACTTAATTAGTTAGTTATAATTAGGTCGTTTGTTCATTTTGAAGTTTTCAGGTTTAGTTTATAGGTAGGTTAGTGTTGGAGTTATATATATATATATTGAATGCTGTTATAGTAGGTGCTTAGCGCTTACTTGTTTAGTTATTGTTTCAGTTTTTAACGATTAGTGAGTAGTGAATTTGTGAATCAATATTTTAATTTAGCTGTCTGTCAGTGCTATGTTTGCAGGTTTAGTTTACCAGCAGATTAGTGTTGTCGTTATAAGTAGTGGATGCTATAGTTTTTGGCACATAGAGTTTGATATTTAGTTTTTGAGATTATTGACCCACGTGACATTCACTCCAGCCGGTTCTACGTTTCCAATTTTTTGTCGTTATGTTGAAACATGAAACACGCTTTAATATAAACAAAATGCTTATTATTGTGGTTAATCTTCATCAACTGTGCTTATGTCATTAGTATCATTTCTTGGTGTTGAATTTAGTATTTTAATGTTTTAATGTAATTTTATTTACATTGGCCTACATAGGAATTTAAGAGATGATGCCAAGGTTGTTCAGTATAACTACGTTGAACCTTTAGAACTCCATGATGAAGTTCTCAGGTGCAATCCCGAAGCATTTGAATGTGGTACTGCAGGTAAACAGAGTACTTACTTGGTTTCTGTCCTGAATAATTTCAGATCTCACAGGTTTGTAGTTGCTCATAGGTCTATAGTGGTCTGACTGATTCATGGTGCGACACTTATTCATTCTGGAGATTATGGACTAGAATGTGATTTATAATAGGTGGAAACTCAAATAAGATTTTGATTTGATGTTGGCAAATTTCTGTCCTTAATAACATTCAAGAGGTTTAGTGTATCTTGCTGGTTTGGTAAAAATTATAAAGTTTGTGATTTTTAAGTTTGTAGGTTTGGAAATTATGGTAGAGATAGGAACTGAAAATAGTGATATGTTAGTGTATTCTCAATCTAAGATTACAGTGAAATTCCTAGACTAATTAAGCAACATATAGACAAACCAAGCAAGATAGGAACATATGTGCAATGCTACATAATACAAATACATAATATATCATAAGTTGCAAAGCTTACCTAATATCGTTATATAGTTCAATAATAGATAGTGTGTTTTTTTACCTTTTCCATTAAGAAATTATGTTTTCCTTTGGCCTCGCTGCTTTCCATTTAAGCATTTTAATGGTGCTCTGCTTATTGTTTATTGTATTGGTCAAGTTTCTCAGGTCCTGTCAAGGAGAAGATCTCTGGTAGTGCATTACCTGAAAAGAAGCTCTTGGAATCTAGTTTTTCTGTCCCAAGTCAGACTCAAAATGACTATGATTCAACCCATAGCCGCTTGCTTGATAATTTTTCTACAAATGTATGAATGCAATTGGTTATATCATTTGAAATTACTTTTTTTGTTTTGCTAATTTTCATAATAATTTGGCAGGACATTTCTACATTGTCTTCTAAGAAATCAAAAGTTAAGAAGAAAGGCGACAATGAAATATCTATTGCACCTGACTCTGCTGTGCCCCAAGGTCCGTGCATGACGGGTTCCTACAATGCAATCCTAATTTTAAACAATTTTATTTGTTCTCCCTGCGTGTGCGTACGTTCATACAGCACACTGACACATCCATGATTACTTGTGTAATGCACTAATACTTGTTGTCTGTTTAGATGTCATCATCGGAAGGTTTCGCGAGTTTTTGGAAGACTTATGTAGCAAGGCTGAATTGAATAGTGATGATTTAGATGAAGCAGTAGAATGGCTGCCATTGCCTCTTTCAGATCTTAGATTGCTTGTTAATGAAATCATGTCTATACGTGAGAAGAATCTTCTGCATTTGGTCCCTGTAGAATTCCTTGTTAGACTGCTAAAGGTTTTAGATCATCAGATACATAGAGCTGAAGGCCTGTCAATTGAGGATTCTGACAATGTTAGTTCACTTTAGAATTTTTTGTACAAGTCTATGCTGAATATTTTGGCTTGTTTAGATTTAGTTGACTTTGATTATGACCTCTATTTTTCTATTATAATAATTTTCTAAAATCTGAATTGTATTAGGTAGTAAACAGAAATTTAAAATTTATAAATAGCTGTGGTACATATATCTAATTTAACATTTATAAATAGCTTTGGTACATAGATCAAATTTGGTAAGGTAATTAATAATAAGTTACATAGATGAGTTCTTACGTACATAAATAAAACATGGCACAGATTTTGTAGTTATTGTTGTTTTAACTGTTACTGTTCTATGTTTCAGTCCAATTCAGAACTAGTTTCGTCTCTTTTAGTTGCGTTGGAATCCATTCATGCTGCACTGGCGGTGATGGCTCATACTGACATGCCAAAGCAAATTTATAAAGAAGAGGTGAGTGAGTTTTTTATGCTAGCTTCAAACAAATATCATTGTTATTATGAGTAAATCAATTTTTTTAGAAATCATCTCTGGAAGAGCAAATTTAATAAAATAATGCATCCTCTGCAGGAGAAAAGTATTGTTTGCAAGTAATTTGCATTGTCATGATGTGCTCAGATTGTTGCTATTAATAATTATAGTCTGTACTGTCTTTAAGTAATTTGTCTGTGCCAGGTCATTGAGAGAATTTTGGAGTTTTCCCGGCATCAGATTATGGATGTGATGTGTGCATGTGATCCATCATACCGTGCGTTATACAGACCTAGTGAAAACACTGCACTTGAAGGTCAGCCTTTTCTGTTTTTGTGCCAAATAGAACATTTTTTCCCTTTCACCATGTTTCCATTTGGAGGATAGAGATGCTACTTATAGTTAATGCTGCTTTATAACTTATCTGAGGGCCACTATGGGAGGGAGAAACTGGAAAGAAGTAAATGTGTCTTCACACTGCAAATTTTTATTTTTCACAGTTGATGATGAAGATGATGATGCTGATTTTGGTTCAGCAAGCAAAAAACGACGGACTAGCAGCAAGACTGTAAAGCTGAAGAAACCATCATCAAGCAGGTTTGATTATTTTCACATCAAGGATTCGTATGGTGCTTAGAATAAGATAGACATGATATAGTGAACTATCATATATTGTCTTAATACATTATTTGGTGAATCATCTGTATAAAATACGTTGAATCTATCACCTATGGTCTAGTTAAAATTATATCCTGTGGTGAGGGTTGGGCAAAAACTAGCGATGCAGGATTAAAAATTTCCCCATTCATCCTAGTCCTCTCTTATGTAGAGTTTGATAAAATATGTAAAAGTTAAAAATAACAATTTAAAATATAATTAAAATTAAAACAAAAAACATATTATAAAAGTTAATCTTAATCAATAAAAAACACAAATAAAAACTTTGTAAATATTTTATACATATCCAATAACTATTATTTTATCCATCTCAATTACGAAGATAAGGTGATATGATACTATTTGTTTGTTATTCTGTGTACCTTAAACACAAGACAGAATAAAAGCTTATTATTCTTGTATCCTATCTCACTCTTGTCCAATACTGTTAGACTCTTCATCTATGCAACAATGTCCGCCAAACGGCCCGTAGATCCCCTTGGTTTTCTTATGTGTCTGAAGTTAGATTTGTTTACAAACTTTTATTGTCGATCCTTCTTTATCAGGTTCTCTAGTACTGTGAATGTTATTCTTCAGAAGTTGTGTTCTGTTCTTGGACTACTCAAGGATTTGTTGTTAATAGAGAGGCTGTCAGATAGTTGCATTTTACAACTTGTAAAAACAAGCATTACAACATTCTTGGTTGATAACATCCAGCTCTTGCAATTGAAGGCAATTGGTTTGCTCAGTGCGGTACAGATGCCTCTCTCTTATAAAACTTTCTCAATGTTAGCTTTCATGCCCATTCAGGTAGCTAACACATAATTGTTGTTTTTCCGATATGCTGGTACAGATATTCTATTTATACACACAACATCGCACTTATGTGTTAGATGAAATGCTTCACCTTCTTTGGAAATTACCACATTCAAAACGAGCTTTAAGGAATTATCACATACGCGAAGAAGAGCAAAGACAGATCCAGATGATTACTGCTTTACTTATCCAATTAATTCATTGTAGTGCTAACCTTCCTGATTCTTTAAGACAAGCATCGAGTAGTAATTCTGTATTGGAAATCCCGGTTGATGCTAGTTATCAAGCTAAATGCCGCGATGCAGTAACAGAAGCCTGCTCCTATTTTTGGACCCGTGTACTTCAGCGACTTGCAAGTGTAAAGACTCAGGATGCTTCTGAATTGAAATCCACAATGGAGAATCTTGTTACTGATTTATTGACCACTCTAAATTTACCTGAATATCCTGCTTCAGCTTCTATTCTAGAGGTAACTTTTGTGTCTGCCTGCCTGCATGTGATTGTGCAGGAATCTGCATGTATTTATGTGAATTATTGTTTTGGTAAAGGCAGCAGGTTAGTTTACTGTTGAGAGTTCTTTCAGGTTCTATGTGCCATACTAATTCAGAATGCTGGGACAAGTTCCAAGGATTTCGCTTCACGTTCCATGGCAATTGATATTCTTGGCACTATTGCGGCAAGGTTGAAGCATGATGCTGTGATTTGTAGCCAGGAAAAGTTTTGGGTACTTCAAGATTTACTTAGTAAGGATGCTGCTCCTCAGAATTATCCGAAAGATACATGTTGTGCCTGTTTGGGTGGAAGGGCTGAAAATTTGTTCCCATGTTCCGGCTGCAGTAGGCTTTTTCATGCTGAATGCCTGGACATTGAAGAAGATGAAGTTCTCAATCAGAACTGGTACTGTCACATGTGCATCTGCTCAAAGCAACTGCTTGTACTGCAATCATATTGCAATTCCCAGCGCAAGGATGATGTAAAGAAGAATCGTAAAGTTTCAAAGGATGATTCTACATTTTCTAACCTTGAAATTGTTCAACAATTGCTTTTGAATTACCTTCAAGATGCCACCTCTGCTGATGACCTGCATCTTTTCATTGGCTGGTTCATACTTGTTACAGATCTTCTAATTGGCATTTTAGTTATAGTTATACAAGGGTAATGCTTTTATATGTTGTGCAGGTTCTATCTTGGTTCATGGTATAAAAATGATCCAAAATGTCAGCAGAAGCCCATTTACTACTTTGCTAGGATGAAATCAAGAACCATAATACGTGATTCTGCTACTGCTTCTTCTATGCTGGCGCGAGATTCAATCAAGAAGATTGCTCTAGCTTTAGGCCAAAGAAGTTCATTTTGTCGAGGGTTTGATAAGATTTTTCACACGCTTTTGGTCAGTTGATATTTTCCGTTTCCCTTATTTTTTCAAATTAGAAGTTTGTATATCAATCTTTCTTGTACTGTACAGGTAAGTATGAAGGAGAACACTCCAATTATTAGGGCTAAAGCTTTACGAGCAGTAAGTTTATCATCTAAGTTTTCTGTTTTCAAGTGAAAAATGGGATACTCATTATAGTTTCTTTGCCCTGGTTTTGTCTTTATCATCTTTCATTTAATATTTAATATGATGAACAGGTTAGTATCATTGTAGAGGCTGATCCAGAGGTATTGGGTGATAAACTAGTACAGTTATCCGTTGAAGGTAGGTTCTGTGACACTGCAATATCTGTTAGAGAAGCAGCATTGGAACTTGTTGGTAGACATATTGCTTCCCATCCTGATGTGGGTTTTAAGGTATGTGTAAGCGGCCCTTTCCTTAATTGTCCAAAATAAATTTGGTCATATGCCTTACAAACTTCATGGCTGTTATGGAGACAATTCAAGCTTAGGGTTGTTGAATTGATAAAGCAAAATTTCCAAATTTGTACTGTAGTATTTTGAGAAGATTGCAGAGAGAATCAAAGATACTGGACTGAGTGTTCGAAAGCGAGCTATAAAAATTATTCGAGATATGTGCAGCTCTAGTGCCAACTTCTCGGGGTTTACAAGAGCCTGCACAGAGATAATTTCACGTGTTATTGATGACGAGTCGAGTATCCAGGTATTTTGAAGTTCCTGCTTAAACCTTTAGGGACGTTTCTAAGTATTTCAAACCCGTTTGTATCTAGCTGTCAACAATTATAACTTTTCAAAAAAGTGTAATATGATGTGTTTTTCCAAAAAAATTGTAATATGATGTGTTTATGTGTTTGGAGCTTAACATGCTTCCTTCCCATCTTGGTATTCTTTTAGAGTGTGTTTGTTTCAAGTTAATGAAATTATTCCTGGAAATATGAGCACGGGAATGCAACATGATATTTGGTACAAGTTATTGAAAAATACATGTTGGTATTATTTATTCAGTCTATAGACCAGACATGCTTTCACACGTACTATTCCCATGTCAAAAGGTGGTAATCTTATATTCCCATAAGAATATAATTTATATGTAACTCTTCTGGCCATATATTTTTTATTTCTTTTGAACTATTAAAAAAACATGTTCTAGGAATAATGAATTTTCCCCGCACATCTCTGTTGGGAATAAACACTTCTAGCAATAATATTCTGGGAATATCACTCCCTGAAACCGGGAATATATTCTTGGCCTTGAAACTATCACTCTTTAGGTCATTGGTGATGGTGATGATGATCTATGGTTTCCACCTTTCATCTAAACTCTATGAATAGGGGGGTGGGGTGGGTTTCATAATGCAATTGTTAATTATAATAAGTAACTCAATATTAACTTGTGCTTCTTTCATGGTAATCCTGCACCAATTCCAAATTTATTTCTCAATGTCCTAACACGTTTTGGATATTAAGAATGTTTCTTCCTATTATGCTTCTGATTTACAGGATCTTGTTTGTAAAACATTTCATGAGTTCTGGTTTGAGGAGCCTTCTGCTTCACAAACTCAGGTCTTTGAAGATGGTAGTACTGTTCCACTCGAGGTGGCTAAGAAAACAGAGCAAATCGTTGAAATGCTGAAGAGATTGCCAAATAATCAGCTTCTTGTAACTGTAATAAAGCGCAACTTGACTCTTGATTTTTTACCGCAATCTGCAAAAGCAATTGGAGTCAACCCGGTGTCCCTTGGAACAGTGCATAAGCGTTGCGAGTTGATGTGCAAATGCTTGCTGGAGAAGATTTTGCAGGTACACTAGAATTATGCCCATTCATCTAATTTTTATGGTTGACTACCTTCATATGAAAAGACAGAGTTTATGTTCATGAACAGGTTGACGAAATGAACAGTAATGAAATGGAAAAGCATGCACTACCATATGTGCTAGTCTTGCATGCATTTTGTCTTGTTGACCCAACTCTCTGTGCACCAGCTTCTAACCCTTCCCAGTATGTCATTACTTTGCAGCCATATCTGAAGACTCAGGTTAAGACTAATCTTAAGTCTTGTATATTGCTTAGTCAAGTATTAGTACAGTGTATGTTGTGTGTTGCTTGATATATTGCTGTGCGTATTATGGTGGATCTAATTTTCAAACTAGTAAGCATGATGACAGTGTCCTGTTTTTCTTTTGGCGCTTCTTTCAAATTTTGTTGGGACTGAGATGTATTACTCTATATTTCATTTTGGTTCCATGTATACAGTATTTATAGACGCATCTTATAAGAGTTATGATATCTAGACACAAAGCTAGACATCTCCGAATAGACACCGTATGCCATAAGTAAAACAATTTCAACAAATAGCATCACACACATTTCAAGGTGAGGAAAAAACATTAAAAATTATAAGAACCATAATTTTTATAATGTTGTTGTGCAATATTGTGTCAATTTAGCATTTCTGTCTTATAATTGTTCTAAAAAATAATGAAACACTAGTTTATTTCACTGTAGGAATTCAAGGATATTTTCAACTTAATTTCCTATATTATTGTTTTTTATTTTTTGATTATTCATTGGATTCTTTTTATAATTTTAGTTTTAAATTTATTTTTTACATTTGTAAAGAAATATATATGAACTGAATATTTTTAAAATACAATTAAAAATATAAGCAAAACAACCTTAAGAAAAAACCCTGTGACCATCAAATTCTGACTGTTATCTCAAGTTTGTATTACTTTCATTTACTATATATTTATTATTTACGATACATTTGTGTTCATTAAAACTGATAAGCATAAGAAAGTCTATCTTTTTGTGATAGGCTTTTGAAGTCACGATAGTTGTGCACTTTATCAAGGCAAACAAATTAAAAATGGGAAGTAAATTTAGATTATACCCAATCTCTTCACGGATTAGTAGTTTTGGTTGGGCCTCCCCACTCGTGACCAGTGGGCTGAGTTTGGGAGTTTTTCCCCCCTTCAATTTATTGTGTCGTGTTGGGCTGAGTTCAGCTCATGGATCAAACCTAAAACTTTCTCTTGCTTAAGTTTAAGTTGAATTCCATAGCACATGACATAAAGTGATAGAATTGGAGTCTAAACACGACATAAACACCATGAACACCTACTCAAGAGTGTAAGGATGACATTGCTGGTTCTATCTTCGGCATGGAGTTTTGTTATTGTGCAATAAGTCGCAACACTTACATGGTGGAATTTTGGCCATCTGACCGCCATTGACATCATAAACCCAATATTGTCCAACACATGTGGGTGTCAACGGTGCGAAACACTCCGACACCTCAAAGATATATCCATGCTTCATAGCCCCCCACAACGCCTAGGTGCCTAATATGGGTAAAAAGATATTATCTCAACAGAGTATTGGGTTGGAAAAGGGAACACTACCTCTCATCTCCCCCTCACATGTTGCATTGCACTGCTGAAAACTTCCAATAGGCGTGTTTATATAATATGTAAACTAATAGTTTTATATTTATAGCTGATGCATATTTGAGCACAATATATTATGACGTAGCCTCTGCTTCAATTTTATCTGCTTTTTTAATTAATTAACTAGTTAATTAATAATCGTGGTTGTAGCTCTTGACATTTCCTTAAATTCCTCCTATAGTTGTGTGGTTTCTAGCTCTTGACATTTCCTTAAATTCCTCCATTATTAATCTGAAATGGGAATGGTTCTCCATATCTTTTGTTTTTGCTTGATTCAGGTTGACAATAGCATGGTCGCACAGTTACTCGAGAGTATAATATTTATAATTGATGCTGTGTTGCCATTGCTGCATAAGTTACCTCTCAGTATTGTGGATGAACTTGAGCAAGATTTAAAACAGATGATTCTCCGACGTTCTTTCTTGACAGTTGTCCATGCTTGTATCAAGTACTGTAATCTCTTACTGTTATTTTTTTCTTCTTCCGTTTGTTAGATGTGTTCTATTACTTCTGTTCTGCTGCATCCTGAAAATAACCTGTTTATAAACTCATGTAATGTTCAGTGCTCTATTTTTTCTTGATGGAAGTTTTTTAAAACTCTAGATGTTTTAATATTATGACGCTGTATATTATAATTTTTAAAGGGGGAGTCTAACATAGACATGCTCCAGAACAGACTTTACTGTTCTTAGTAAATTTTAAAACATCCATTTTTTATTCATAATAAAATTCGTTTTTTACTAAAAATTGCAGGGAATCCTTGAACCTTTTTTGAGAGGTTCATGTTAGCCACACCCATTTTAAAATAATTTTCTCATTCATTGCATGAATGCTGTGTAGAAAAACAATATCATGGGAGAACAATTTTTGGATTTATATTTTGAGATATTTTTAAAACCCTTGAACTGGATCTTGGTTATACTTGTCTTTTGCAGACTACAATTAGTAGAAAAATTATTTTTCCTTCCATTTAATTGAAGAGTTTGCTTACCCGTTCATCTACTTATAGGTCTTATTTATTACTATTGCTTGAACAGATGCCTCTGCTGTGTGAGTAAGATGGCTGGAAAGGGGGCAGATGTAGTTGAGCATCTTATTCAGGTCTTCTTCAAATGTTTGGATACCCAGGCAATTGTAAACAAACAGGTTTGGTGGTAGAATCATGTTAAAATTTGGCCTTTAATGTAATATTTATGTTATTGGAGTTTATGTGCGTCCACATTAAAAACGTAAGTAAAAGAAGCGAAAAAAATAGAATAGAAAATAATGCAGAGTGCAGCAAGGCTGTCTAGTCTCTGATATATGATTTTGAAAATCCCATGTTACTACAACTGGTGGAACACTAGGTACAATCCCGAACTCATTCTATCTCAAAGTAAACCTCATGGCTGGGAGATTCCTTTGAAACTGTAGTCGTTTGTCTCCGATCAAATATGTGTTTGCATAAAAGGCAAGTTGCCTTAGGTTTTTACCTTTGCTTCTATCAAAACCTATAAGTGAACTGTCACTGTCCCATCTGGGGAAATGCTTTTGAAGAGTTACTAGAGAAATCACCATGAATCAAATTGTCCTCATTTCCATATCTTCATTAAATGAAAAATGAAAAGATTAAAGTAAACTAAGCTTTGACTGAATTTCATTTCTCTCCTGATCGTTGAGGTTCGTTTAAAGTGAGATGTTGACGGATATTTAATACCTTGGTTGAACTTATGATGAATGACTTTGTGAAGAAGACAAATGATAAAATTAAAACTGTCAACATGTCTTTCCTTAAGCATTAAATGTCAGGGATCATGTTTGAGATATAATTAAAACCCCACTCATAAGCTTTAAATCCGAGGGGCCTTGTTTGAGATATAATGTAAACCACTCATGTATTTTCAACTATCAGCTTAAACTTTTAGAATAGCTGGTTCATCACAAATTTTATCTGGCATGTATATTCAAAATTGACTGTTTTTTACCATTTACAGCAAGTTGGGCGATCTCTCTTCTGTATCGGTTTACTTATTCGTTATGGCAACTGTTTGCTAGCAAGCTCTGGTAATAAACTTGTTGATGTCAGAAGGAGCCTCAGCTTGTTTATGAAGTATCTTGCCGTAGAGGATTATTCTCTTAAGGTTAGATCATTGCAGGTAAGAATTCCTCATTGACTCAGATCTTATCTTGGTTTAATCTTGAATGTTTGTTAATGTTTAATTGTAACTCTTGCAGGCACTAGGATATGTTCTAATTGCAAGGCCTGAATTTATGTTAGAAAATGACATTGGAAGGATACTAGAGGAAACACTGTCGTCTCATGCTGATGCTCGGCTTAAGGTAATATATACGAGCATAAGCATTTCATCTAGATGTACACATGCTAGCAAAGTTACACTGTTGTCCTTAAACAACTATTTCTTGGATGCAAATTTAACCAATTTAACTATTTAATTATATCAATTAGATTTTTTTATTGTATGAAACTTTGTACATGTTGAATTGTTCAAATTCACATCTTGCACTATTTTATTGAAGGTCAATGTATGCTAATTACAGGTAATATATACATGTATGCATGTATATAGCCATATACTTTTCCATGAATACTAAGTTATACTTATGTCCAGATTCAAGCATTGCAAAACATGTTCGAGTATCTTCTTGATGCTGAAAGCAAAATGGAAACAGAAGTTGATGATAATGTACCTGGTCACTCGGTCAGAGCTGGGCATAGTGTACCTGTTGCTGCTGGGGCTGGAGATACAAACATATGCGGGGGTATTATTCAGTTGCACTGGGACAAAATTTTGGGTAGATGTTTGGATTGTGCTGAACAAGTTCGACAATCAGCCTTGAAGGTCAGAACCTACCTTCTATTTTGGATTCGATTCAACATTTGGAAGTCATATGCGAAGAAAAAAGTAAATCCTTTTAAAAAAAAACTTAAAGCAATTAAGCTGACATAACCTACCTTCTATTCTGGATTAGCTTCAACACTTGGAAGTCATATGCGAAGAAACAAGTAAATTCTTTTTTTAATAGAACTAAAAGCAATTAAGCCGACAGAGTGTGTTCCTCTGCATATTGTTTCTATCAATGGTGTTTTCGTTCATTCAAATCTTATTGATGGGAGTGAGAGAAAGGGGGTGGGAAACTAGGTTGATGTTTTGGAAAGGAGAATCTTACAGTTGTTACTCACGTCCAGCTGAATGTCATTGACTGATCTATAATTTTAATTAGTTTTGTCCTGGAAACTTGATCATTCCTGTAAACGTAGTTATATTTTCTGTTTCTCATGCAATTTAACATAATGAGAGAGATGCTAATAATGCAGATTGTTGAAATTGTGCTGCGCCAAGGTCTTGTTCATCCCATCACCGGTGTTCCATATCTTATAGCACTTGAAACAGATCCTTTAGAGTCAAATTCAAAATTGGCTCATCATCTCCTAATGAATATGAATGAAAAGTAATCTCCTATATATAAATTTGGATGGTATTATTCTCATCAATGAAAGTTCTTTAAGCTAATTAAAGGATCTTTTCAGGTACCCTGCATTTTTTGAAAGCCGCCTGGGTGACGGACTTCAAATGTCTTTTATGTTCATGCAAGCTATTTGTGTTAGTCCTGATGAAAATGTTAACCACAAGACCCCATCTAAGATCCCTGTTTCTGGAAAAGGGAAACCTGAGACTGACTCGATCACTCAATCAAGAGTTGGGGTTTCTCGAATATACAAGCTCATCCGAGCGAACCGGATATCAAGGAATAAGTTTATGTCCTCAATTGTGCGAAAATTTGATAAACCAAAATGGAACAAATTTGTAATAGCTTTCTTAACGTAAGTCTTGTTATTATTCTTTGTAAATCATGCAAGGTTTTAAAAGTCTTTCTAATTGGTTTCTTTTCACAGGTACTGCACAGAGGTTCTTGCCTTGCTCCCATTCATTGCACCTGATGAACCACTTTATTTAATCTATGCTATCAATAGAGTAGTTCAGGTGAGGGCTGGTTCACTGGAGGCGAACTTCAAAGCCTGGAGTTCAAGCTTAGTACGAAGTGAGGGTGACGTTGCACCTCATGGGAATGGAATGTATCAACAGGCGCCAAATGAACCTATTCATTCAACCCAAGTTATGTCAAAGGACTTAAATGGCACATTTCAGCAAAATATAGATGTTCAGCCCTCCCTCGATAGCACGGCTTCTGTGGATTTAAATGGAACAAATCACCAATTGCCAGATTGTCCTTTATCACATAATGGTAGGTCAAAAGTAAAGCCTCATGCTGCAGGTTTTGCAGATACCTTTTCCTTCTCAAAAGAGGATCTGGAGAAAGTTCAGGTATTATGGTCACTGTCATTATTTTATGTCAATTATGTTGATTTGTTTGTGGGTAGCAATGTTAAAATTCAAGCTAATAAAGGTCTTGCTCTAAGCAAGAATGTGGAATATTTTCCTTATACAGCATGAATAGTAGTTTATGCACATTTGGATCAATCATAATTTTCAGTAATTGGATCATATGATCACAATCATTTTGTTCCCGATGCTTATGCAGGCAGACTGTTTATCTGCGATTGCATTGCAACTTCTTTTAAAGCTAAAGAGACACCTAAAAATCATGTACAGTCTCGATGATGACAGATGTCAGGTAACATTATCATGCATATTATCATTACCTACACGGCCGGCCAGAAAACGAGTGGAGCCTAAAGCAAATTTTGAGAAAGACTTTTTTTGTGTTAAGAGAGCTTTCGGTTGGCCGCCTTTTGAGTGGAGCCTAATGCAAGAGGCATTTCTTTTTCTTTCTCTTTGGTCTTGAGCTCGGCCCTAATCACTTAGTGGCATTTGAGTGACGTGTTTCCTTTTGACTAGGTGGGAATGTGATAGTAGTCTAACCATCCTCTCTGTTTGGGATGTTTTCACATTTTTGTTCAGGCTTATTCTCCAAGTGAACCGCCAAAACCTGGTGAGGTTTTCTCAAGACAGAGTATTCCATTTAATGTTGGTGAATCTCAGTTCAGTTTGCCTGCAAATCCACAAGAATTCATTCAAAGATATCAGGTATCATAGCTTGAGTACAGAACTTTTTGCACATGCAGCATTTCTGTTGCCATAATGAGTCAGTTTGATTAACTTCGTCTACAGCATGCGGCAAAAATATTTAAAAAATCCTATGATGTTAGGTTTGTCTTTTTATTAACAATAATAATATGATTTTAAACGGTAACTTGTTAAACTTGAAATTAGTTTCTGTATCTTAATTTTTTTGCAAGTTCTCATGTAACTTTTCTATAAAGACATATTTATTAGGCTTTTTCTTAAGTAGTGGACTATTAACATGAATTCATTTTGATCGAGTTATTTTATCAAAGCTTTTTTTCCTAAATAAAGAAGCGTGAGTATATTTAGTTGAGAAGCTCCTAATTTCAATTGAGCCTATATCTCATTGTTGCACCAGGAGTTTAAGAATGCATTGAAGGACGACACAATGGATTATTCACTCTATACAGCAAATATAAAACGGAAGCGACAAACGCCCACTCCCAGAAAAGTTCAAGTTCGGAAACCTGGACCTACGTTAGGTGGTGATAGCGATGAGGAAGACGATGAGGACTGGGCTGGTGGAATGCGCAACATAAATTTTAGCGGTGGTCGTCGACAAAGCCTTAGAAGCTCCAGACAATAATGATGGATGTAAGTAAATGGTAGATAGGCTAACTTGTACATTAAATAGAAATTTAAAAAAGGATACAGAATAGGATGAGAGCCAATAGAATAGGGTTTAAAGAAACATAGTGCAGGAAAGCATGGGCTTGAGATTTTCCTTGCCTTAGCTGACTATTATTTTGTATGTTTCTGTCTGTAATTTTCTTGATATTGGCAGCATTCTTTCGTAGATGGAAAATTCAATCTTAGCCATCCAAATCATATTTGTTTGTTTTCTTTGGTTTTGTTACAGTTGCACTTAAATCAGTTGTCTATTTATTATTTAGTAAAACTTGGTTTGCTGGATTGGGATTAGGCAGCGTGCCTTTGGACCAATATAATCCGATTCATTATGGTTCAGAAAAAAACCAAATATAAAAAAAAGGTAAACGTGTTGTGCACACAGCGAAAAAGACACCGTCACTGTTTACCGCCGCATCCCTCCGACCACTTGCATGCCGAACAACAACACTGAAGACCCACACCAAGTTTGGAAGCAAATAGAAAACAAGTTCAAACAATTTTTGTGGTTCCATCTTTTATGTTTATGTTGTGGGTATTCCTCAAATAATTGCTTCACTTACACGCAGAATGTTTTCATGTTCATGGTCTGTGCTGGCTAGTGTTCAAATGAAGTTTTGTTTGGGATTGTAATTTCCAATTCAAAAATTAGAATCCGTATTATGGAGACTGAAAGCAAAGGAACATTGAAATAGAGTCAAAACATTAGCGATTGTGGTGGTTATAGTCAAGACATGGCGGTTGTCGGAGTCAGTGGAGTAGATCTGGTGGCGACAGGTTTGCAGGGCTGGTCAAATCGGATGGTTAAGACGGCGATGGAGAGATGAAAATGCAACACCTGCTTGTGTTTTAGATTTTTATCTTCTAAAAATTAATAGCACACCTGACAAATACAACACGATTTTTATCTTTTAAAAATTAGCAGCACGTGACAATCTGACACTGTTTGAAAGCGTTAGGATAAGATTGATCCAATGATTCAGATTGAGATAAATAGGGATGATTATCGATTCAGGTAAATTCGAATCAAATTGAAAATTCAAACCAAATCAAAATTTAAACCAAACTATAATGTTTGGATTGGGCATTTTTTAGGAGGTGATTATATGGACATTTAAATTCAACACCTTTTATGGAACACGGTATCCAATACATTCAATATGTCTAAAATTTTGTTATATGAAAAGTAGAGAGAGAATTTAATATTAAAAAATTCAAAACCGTTTCAATATGGGATGTTGGTGTTTGTTTTGGTGTTTAAATAACTTTTCTGTTTTTTTAGTTGGGTCAAAAATCGAACTAAATCAATGAAATTTGATATTAATTTGTTTGGGTAATAGATTTACAAAATTCTATCTACAAATCCGTCTGAAGAAAAAAAATTAAACTTCGTTTGAAAAATATAAAAGTTGGGAATTTTATATTGTTATGGAAAATTAATTGATGTAATTTAAATATTTTTTAAAAATATTTTTTAAAAATATTTTTGAATATTTATTTTTAATATATCTGATTAATTTAATCTAAATCAACTGTTGTTTTTTAGCATTTAATATTTTATTCTCTAAATTTCTGTTTTTTTTTTTAAAAGATAATCAAGTACACATGATTTCTATTTTATGGATTTCGGGGGTTAGATATATGCAATCTTACCTTTGAAATTTTTAGCAGTGTAAATTTTTTTCCTATAAAATAAAGTACCGAATTTTTTTAAAAATCTAATATTTTTTTAAAAATTCCGATAACCCCCAAATTTCTGAAAATAAAAAAAAAATTAAGTTTTTTTTGAAATTTTTGGTAAAACTCATGAGTTTTTTAGAATTTTGTGACTATTTATAAAAGTATAATAATAACAACATATCCTTTAGAAGAGAGGGGTGACATGTATAATTGGAGAAATGAAAGGTTAATTCTTCATTTTTCTGATTTGGGCTTTATCGCAAAAAAAAATAAATCTAATTCAAATCAATTTATATATATTTTTTAATCGGTTTGAACGTCCAATTCTTTAAAAATCAAATCAAATTGACCTGCAAACACACTTATGGATAAAAGCAGCGTGCCTTTCGCGCCACAACGTCATCCAATCCAAATCCTGGTTTGCTAAGTTAGGCACATAATGATAATATGATTAATAATAATAATTTTGAAATAGAAATTGCCCCTAGGTTCAAATATTTTATGCCCGATGAGAGTGTAGGATAAAATGTGAAGTGCAAAACTGATATTTAATATTATAGATATGTAGCAAAATTTTATTAAATTGAATATGTTTTTAGTCTCTTTATTTTCATATTTTCAAAATTTTAATCCTGTCATTTTAAAAGTCAGTTTTCTAATTCCTAAATTTTATTTTATTTGTTATCTGTATGATCTTCTCCAATTTTACATACGTGATATTGAGATAAAAAAATTATTTTTAATATTTAATTTTAATGATTAGACTTATTAATTAATTAACAATTTTTATAGATAAGTTAATACTTAATCATTTTAATTAAGTTTTATCCTAAATTAATTATAAATAAATAATTCAAAATTTTAAAATAATTATTTTGGGCCTCGAGCCCAATATTCTTAGAGTTCTTTTTGTTGATATATATATATATATATATATATATATATATATATATATATATATATATATATATATATATATATATATATATATATATATATATATATATATATATATATATATATATATATATATATATATATATATAGTGTTAAGAATATTTGTATGTAGAGTAGTTCTACATCGACTATATCATATCTTTAGTTGTAATATCTCTATATATAATAAAGTTTCCACAGTGCTTTTCAAAATACACGATTTAACCTAAATGTCTCTTAGTCTCTCCTAATTCAATATAGTATTAGAGCCTATCGATTAGACCACCGTTAATATCCATACAACAAGTCCAAAAAAAAGAGTGTTGGGCGTGAGGGGGTGTGTTAGGAAGATCCTAAAGTCCCACATTAGTTGGAGATAGATCACTGAAAGAGTTTATATAGAGTGACACTCCCCACCTTACCAATCGGTTTTGTAAGGTTAAGTTAAGTCAAACTCTAAGATGGTATCAGAGCCGGTTTTGTAGGGTCGAGTTAGGCCCAATCACACATTTTAAGATGGTATTAGGAAAATCCTAAAGTTCCACATTGGTTGGAGATAGAGCATTGAAAGAGTTTATATAGAGTGACACTCCTCACCTTACAACCGGTTTTGTAAGGTTGAGTTAAGTCAAACTCTAAGATGGTATCAGAGCCGATTTTGTAAGGTCGAGTTTTGCTTCTCTCAATCATCTTTTCTTGGACCTTGGGTCCTTGATTCTGGTGCGTCTGATCATGTTATTATTGGTAATAAAAATATTTTCTCTTCCCTCTCTACCTCTGGTTTCTTACCTACAATAACTTCTCCATGGTAATGTTCCACTTCGATTTTGGGGAGACACTGTGCTAACAGCATGTTACCTTATAAATGGTATGCCATCATCTGTCCTTAACAATAAAATCCCTCATTCAATCCTTTTCCCCATTCCCCCCTTCACCCAATTCCTCCCCGAGTCTTCGGGTCTACATGTTTTGTACACAATCTCTCTTCTGGTCTTGATAAACTATCTGTTCGATCACTAAAGTGTGTTTTTCTTGGTTATCATCGATTCCAAAAAAGTTATCGTTGCTATTCACATATCCTACAACGATACCTCATGTCAGCCGATGTCACCTTCTTCGAGTCTGTTCCATATTTCGAGTCCAGCCAAGTAACTTTGGAACCCTTTCAAGAGAGTACTCCCACACCTCTTCCAAAAGTCCCATATGTCATTAAACCTCATCATTCTAGGGAACCTGACCCACTAGATAACCCTGCGGTTAATCCCCTAACTTCTTGTCCACTTTAAACATATCAGCATCGTCAACCAACATCTGTCGTACCTGTCCCTGAGGTCGTACATGTCCCTGAGGTCATTGCAGACTCTTCTGCGATGCTCTCGCCATCACTAGATCCGATCCTGCAACCTGATTCCGATCTTCTAATTTCTCTTCGAAAAGGTATACGTCAAACACGAAATCCTTCTCCATATTATGTTGATTTATGTTATCATCGTCTTTCCCCTTTGTAGTATACTTGTTTGTCTTCTTTGTCTTTTGTTTCTATTACTAACACTCCAGGTGAAGAATTATCTCACCTTGAGTGGAGGCAAGAAATAATTGATGAAATGTGTGCTCTTCAAAGCAGTGGTACATGGGAATTGGTTCCTCTACCCTCTGGGAAATCTTTAGTAGGTTGTTGTTTGCTTTATAAAGTGAAAGTTGGTCCAGATGGTAAGATTGATCGATTTAAAGCTCGCTTGGTAGCCAAAGGATACACTCAGATTTTTGGATTAGATTATAGTGATACCTTCTCGCATGTAGCCAAGACGGCATGTGTTATACTTCTTCTAGCCATCACAGCCATTCGACATTGGCCTCTTCATCAACTTGACATAAAAAATGCTTTTTTACATAGTAATCTTGAAGAGGAAGTATATATGGAGCAACCACCTGGGTTTGTTACTCAGGGGGAGTCATCGAATATGGTTTGTTGGTTACACATGTCTTTTTATGGTCTTAAACAATCTCCGAGAGCTTGGTTTGGCAGATTCAGCATTGTAGTACAACAATTTGGTATGGTCCATAGTGAAGCTGACCATTTCGTCTTTTATCGTCACTCAGCCCAAGAGTGTATTTATATTATTGTGTATGTAGATGATATTGTCATAATTGGTAGTGATGAGAAGGGAATACTCCAGTTGAAACAACATCTCTCGAATCAATTTCAGACAAAAGATCTTGGTAAACTCTGGTATTTCTTGGGTATTGAGGTAGCCCAATCTAAAGATGGTTTGGTGATTTCTCAATGAAAATATGCTATGGATATTTTGGAAGAAACAAGTTTGTTAAATGCTAAACCAACTG